ATCTGTTAACTTGTACCTTGTAGTAATGTAGTTATGGACTTTTGTCAAATCAGCTAGCCTATTGAAACACATAAGACTATATCAAAAACAGGTTAAGAGATTGAGCACCCAACATCAAATACATATAATCTGAATTATTGCAGTATTATTATCAACTTCTGCATTAACATTACATGTATACATGTAGGAAGAAGTAACACAGGTTGTTTCTTAATAATAATGTCATTAAAACATATATAAACTTCAAGACACACCCTTGTTGACTGGACAAGTGTTGAAGTTGATCCAGATGTAAACCATCATCGTTGATGCTGTAACCATAGAAACGGTGTTCCGCAGCAACAACCATGGCACCAAAGAACTTGGCCATCTCAACATGGTGTCCTGAAGTACAGGGGAAAAACTTCACCTTCACTCTCACATACTAAGTTGCTATATTGTGTTTATAGTGAAAAGCTGAGGAGTATTTCATATCCAGTACTTCATGTATTATTAAAACTAGTGTAAATAGACAAGTATGATCCCATTCTGATACTCAAAATCTGTATTTGAGATGACAAATGCCAAGATGCTTATTGGAGAACTTGCAGTGCAATTACTGTATTCAGAATAACAAATATTTTTATTAAACATAATGTTTCAAGTACCAGTATGAATACAGGGTAAAAAAGTTAATGTAGTGCATTAGCATAATTGGCATTGAAAGCTGTGTATAATTAAATAACAACTTAAGAGTTATTGTTCCTAGATGAGGAGCAAACATCCTTAATCAGGATGCCTAGAGCACATGTATATAACAAATACGTCACTCAATACGAACATATGAACTAGCATGTAAGAACTGTCGAGTATTTGAACATAATGGTTCCCTGTTATACATTAATTACATCTTTACTATGCACTAATACTATATTTAAACATCTATGTTTTGTGAAACTGTGTTTTGTATACCAGCATAAGCCGATCTGTTTGATAGTGCCCCCTCTCCTCCTATGAACAGGAAAATAGGACCACTTGGTTGCTTCCAGTTTTCTGTATTGATATAAACTTTCTGTTGGTATGTTTCCTAAAAAAAGTCATAGTCTTAAAATAATATTTAAAGATATTGCCAGTATATAACATTTGGCTGTTATTTCATATAGTCCCTTTTGTGGGAGACAGATGTGATACGTTACACTACATGCAACAGTATACTGCTGAAAATTAATCCTGGCCTGCTGTTTCATTGTTGAACGAGACAGTTCTCGCTGTATTATATTTTGAAAGGAATATATGCATTGACATGTGATGCCAATTTTGAAGCAGAGCTTACAGAGGAATAGGCATCAAAGTGATCCAGTGGCTGTGTCAAAAGAACCTCCTCTACAATCTGACTACTGCCATATAATCTTCTGTAGTCATGTACCGCCGACTTTTCTCGATGATTTTCCACCAGTTCTTTAATTTTCCAAAAGCTGTGTCCTTTCAAAAAATGAAACATGAAATTAAATTTCTTTTATGAAAAGTTGTAGATTTGTATCAAGAGATATTTACAAGCTTATTCTGCCTCCTATGAATAGGAAATTTAGCCATCTGGTTTGCTTCACCAGTTCCCGAAGGGCGAGGTGATATAAACTTTCTGTTGGTATGTTTCCTGAAAAAAATATACTTTTAAAATAATATTCATAGGTATTGTAAAAATATAACATTTGGCTGTTACACTGTGTTTTAAATAAAGTCCTTGCCAAGTACAGATGAGATATAGTATAAAATGTGACATAAACCTTATAAAAATTAAATTATTTTTTTTTTTTAATCAATTTTGTTTCCATGAAAAAATAATATAATGTCAGTGTTTTTATAGGATATATTTTGAAAGAATTATATCTTATTGACATGTGATGCCAAAAAGTTTTGAAGCAGGACTCACAAAAAAAAAAAGGCATCACATGTTCAGTGATTCAGTAAAAGGCTGTGTCAGGGTCCCTGCATCCCCTCTACAATCTTGACCCTTCACTGCCTTTGTTTTTTTTTTCTGTAAAAAAAATCAGAGTCGTTTAAATAGCTTTCCAAAACAATTTGTATCAATTTGGAATTTTCCACTATTTTTAGATCAATGTAAAGGAAATAAATTTTCCAAAAACTGTGTCCTGCAGGTCATAAAAATGAAACATGAAATTAACATTTCTTTTATCAGCCAATCAGAGAGATGGAAATTATTCAATCATATAATAAAATAAATCAATGCACATCTCTAAATTATTTAAGCTAGACCCCAAAAATTAAGATTTGAAATTGGAATGAGCTCAAGGTTTCAAACATCGTCAGAAACCCTCGAGTGAACTCACCGTTTACTTATCACCTATTTATAAGTAAAAGATGAGATCACCTGACCATAAAGGCATATCCTTTGATGAGTTGTGCCAAAAAGAAAAAAAATAATTTCCTTTCTTTGCAGATGGAATTAGAAAATGTGTTAACATCAATTAGCCTGGCATTTGTTGAAATGGAGATTTTTTTTCCATATTGCCCAGGAAATAATATCTATTAGGAATTATTAATATTGGCTTAATTAGTATGTGGAAATAGATAGGCAAATTTGCATTTCTCCTTAAAAACATTTATTTTTCCCCACTTCAACATTTTAAAATGCTTCCTAAAAATGCTAGTACAAATTTTCAATTTAGTTTTATCAAAACATTTTACATCAAAGCCTCGCTAATAATGCCAAAATTAAATCCTCGCTAAAATTTCTACTTATATGGTATGTCATGATACTTGCTTGAAACATTTATTTCCACACTTCAACATAACTTCAATCTCCTTTGCAAAGTCTTAATCCAGAAAGAAAAGTTCATGTGCTTTTAATTGAGTGATCATTCATTGCTTAATTAATGTAAATTTTATGTCAATAGGATAAAACTTTGAGAAATCAACCTCCACATGATCCAACAGGCTCAATAATAATATTTGAGGACATCAATCATGATAGTTGAGTGTTTCTTAATTTTTTTTCCTTAGTGTTTCAAGTTCATATGACAAGTATAATTCAAGATTTCTTTGTGGATACTAATACAAGTTGGTAATATGAGGAACTGGAAATCACTGGCTTTCAAAACTATGACCTCCAAACCTTGACATAAATTATCTTGTTTCCCACATATACTTAAGCTTCTGCCACACTAACATAACAAAGAAAACAGTGATATGCATTGTATACTGACTTGCATACATGTACCAACAGTACAAAATAGTATTTAGCACCATTTTCCAAGTTTTTGGATGTTAATAAACACACAACCCCAGGAGTCCATTTTGACAATATGATAAATTTAGAAAATTTTTTAATTTTGTAAAACTTCTTCAAATAATCCTTGTACAAAAAGATGCTACTATCTGCATGCAGGCATGCTTATGAAAGAAACTTAAGCATCATGAAGGCTTTGGAGTTGATACAGATCAGAGAGAGAGAGAGAAGGGGGTTAATTATTAAGGCCCACTGCTGAGCTTGAATCTACAAATTGTAATATTTGTTGATTTTTCTACTACGTGTACTGTATTATAAAAATGATAGCTAATAAAAATGCCCTCTGGTGAACAGGCGAATGATTATCGAGAACCTGCGCATGCAATGATGCATGTATTGAACTAAAAGCTTCAGTGCGATTTAAAAAAAACAAACTATACCTGGTACTGAAGATATGTCTTTCGGCATAAGATTTACAGTAAACACAAAGATAAAATATTTCAGAATCATACTGCTACATGTACCAGAAACCGTCCAGAATAACAAATCACAAATCCAGGCAAATGATCATGTGGTTGACTTTCTGTTTCTCATAGATCATGTGACATTGTTTACAAATAATAAACCAGACGGCGGAAGTTGCACGTGGACTCTTCGTGTAGATAAAGCCCCCCCCCCCCCCCAAAAAAAAGATAAGAAGGGCATGTTTTAACCATAGACCTAAATCACTTTAAGTATATGGTTTTAACTGATGTTTTGTGAGTGAACAGGAGGTGCCCCTAATGAATAATATATGTATTTATATTATCATTGGCATATATGTATACGTGCATGTAGCTTCAACACAAAAATTAACATACATTTAAAAAATGAATTTAATTTTTGCTACTATCAGCATGCAGATATGCTCATGAAAGGTTCCATGTTTGTTCACTCCTCAAAAAATTAAATTCATTTCTTATATTTACATTATTTTTCTGATGATTAGCCATAAATTTACGCCGTTCAACTGTCATTTTTAAAACAAAACAGAGTGCACTATATTTTTTGACTTTTTGACGTCAAGAGCGGTATTATGACGTAACAATGGAGATATTCATGCTTATTCGTGATACATACCTAATGTAGTTCATGAGAAAATATACTGCATTTTATTTTGTAAAGAAACATAGGGGAAATTTATTGGAAATGTAAATATTAGTCTAATTAATATCCAATGAATTTCTTTCCTAATATTTTTTCAGAAAGTACATTCAAAATATATCTTTTAATTCTATTCGGAGACCAAGAAAGTTATACATACTCTTCTCAGGGGCGTAGCAACAGGGGGGGGGGGGGCCAGACGTTATGCACCTTACTTATATATAGGAAATGTTTATAGAAAGCGGTCACACCCCACTTTTAGTAATGTCCGAAAATGTGTTTTCAAAACATAGCGCAATTCGTAAAAATAACACGGATTTATCCCCTAATTAACATTGATAATTTTTCTTTTTTTTTTTTTTTTGCTTGTCAACTTTTTAGTGCAAAAAAAATTTCTTAGTCATTCAAAAACGATGCTACGCGCCTGCTTCTAGCAAATTTAAGGATACACCAAAGGCTTTTTTAAAGATTTTTGTCAAAGAACGAGGGCGCTTTTGATTGGCATTCAGAATTTGAGAGAAAAAAAATTCCCAAAATTGAGCTTTGATTTGCTAAAAAATAACTTGAAAATTGGATAAACATTTGGTACAAAATGTACAATTTTTAATTCACATATATATAAAAACGTTATTTGTGTGAATTTTAATTCAAAGAAACGAATACACTTTTTTTAAAAAATAGGAGAGAAACAAGATGTTGAAAAATGAACTTTTCCCCAAAAAATCCAAATGTGAGAATGTGGTGCTTCTTTGTCCTTTTAAAATCATCTGTGAATATGAAGCGGTGATAGCTCAGTAAGTTGGGCTATCTGTTCAGTGCACTGCTGTTGAAAAGTTTTTGGTTCGAGCCTGGCATGGGGCGTTAATTACTAAGTAATTTTTTTTTCATGCAAACAACTATTTATTTTGTCAGTTTCGTTTTAGGTTCTGGTGTATTAAAATTTTGAATTAGATAGAGAGAGAGAGCGAATCAATTCTAATCTTCTATTCTATAATGTACATGTACACGTATCATGTATCTATATGCATTAAGTATGTTAGGTGTTTATTTTTGTGAAACATTACTATGTTATAGTACCCTCCAGGAAAAACGGACAAAAATGATACAATCTCACACTTTCAAACTAAATGAAAAAAAACCCATGGACGTGTTTGTAAAATCTGACCAGCTATGTTCAGCCAACCAAATCATGGACATTTAAACCATAAATGTTTCGTACAAATGATTCCTGTAGATCACACGCCAAATGCGCCCATCTTCTTTGAGATTTTTGGCTAAGAAAAGGATGCTAATCACTGCTTTATAGTGCATGGAAAATTCTTGCTGATTATTAAATGGTACATGTATTTATCAATAATCAAAAATAAACACTACCACATGTGAATGTGCCGTTATTGAATCTTCTGATTTGATCTGTGACTGCCTGCTCATGAAAAATGCAATAAATCACTGTGACCACTTGGGTAAACACACAGAGTTATCATAATTAAAAATATTTAGGGAAGGAGATCTAACAGGTCACTAATGACCATAAAATAGGAGGCGGAGCTTAGCTCTTGCCATTTTGCCGGGAAACTTTTCTGATTCAGAATTGAACCCTATTTTTTTTTGCTTTTAAAAATAAAGCATCTCCAATGTGTGTACACAAAACGTATCTCAGATTTTTGATATCTTGCTTAATTCTCGAATTATTGGGGGAAATGTAGAATTGGGCTAATAAATTGGTAACATTGAAGAAATGGATGTAACTTTTGAATTACAAGACTTATCCAAAATCTGGGATACGGTTTTCAAGTTCACTTTAATCAACCTTGAGGCAAAATTATGAGGTGGAATACAAAAAAGTTTATTTAAAAAATTTAAAGTGCACTAATATTTACATTAAAATAATAATAATTTTTTAATAAGATGAAAAGAAAGTTTAAATTAGCGCCATTTTTAATAAATTTAACAAGCTTTCTGATATATAACTTTAAAGTCATTGGTTAATGAAAGAATTACAAGAATTAAACTGCCCTTTTTTGGTGTATCCATAATACTTGGAGGGTTGATAATTTCAATAATAGGGTTTACCCTTATGTAACATTGACCATTAAATTCCTCGCCATGTTTTATTTAATCTACATTGATCATAACTACAGGACAGTAAAGTATAAAATGTTCTTCATTTTCAATATAAAAAATGTGAATGACATAGATAAGGAACGCCAAACTTGGGGTTATATATAAAAAGAGTTTACAATAATAGGTACTCCCCACCCTTCGAGTGTGTAAGATTTGAAAGCAAATCGTCACGATTTTCCGGATAAAAATGACGTGATAAAACATTGAATTATGAAAAGTATTAAGTAAAAATTGTTTTAATCCAGCTTTGAATGAAACAATGAAATAATTTTATATCTTGCAGTAGCCCTTTCTCGAAAGTGCATTTCAATGAAAAGATCCAGGGTATCCTTCACTTTTAATGAATATTAAAACACTTTTTTTCCAATGTTATATACTTAGTGTTATTGTTCATAGTTTAGCAACATCCTGAACACACCTGTTAAAAATGGGGAAAGTTTTTTGGAAAAAAATTTTAATACAGGAAACCTCATATTTTACCCACCCCCCCCCCCCCCCCCACACACACACACACACATGAAATAGGATTTTTTATTGGGAAATGGACATTCATGGGTTTGTTCAAAATTTTTAAAGTATAAAATTTTTTTTTACAAAAAATGCATGAATTAACAATTTTTCATTAAACTATGCAGCAGTTCATTTTAAAAGCCTTCTCATTTTAATGACGATTAATTCTTATCATATAGTACGACTTCATTATCGATTAATCCATTTGTGAACAAATTGATCACTTTTTCAGCTTTGAATATGAAAGAAACAGCATGGATGCTTAATTGTTTTTGTTTGCAGAGGCACTTGTTTGGAAAAATAAATACTTAACCCATTTAAAATAACACAAATTTAATTACACTGTACCCCTCCTTGGTATCATCTTATATTAAAAAAAATGACTTTAAAAAATTATTCAGATTTAAAATACAATTTGATTAACATTTTTAAAATACACTGTAAAATTTTTATTAATATTAGAAACAATTTTTAAAATTATTTTCAAGTACCGTTTTGTTTTGACTTTCCACTGAAGTTGGTTTGACGCTGTTTACGGAGATAAAAAACAAAGATTATGCACGTACATTCGGTTGTGTAGATACATTATCATAAAGACTAATTTAAATTTTACATGTACATTTCACACTGAAATTGTAAAAACTTTTTGAAATGCTAATTCTTTTTAATCTTGTGTTATTTTATACTAGTGTTTAAAAATTTTATCCGAAGCTTCTGTGGTTTAAATTTAATGCTTCGCATAAATTCTACTTGTACATTATAAAATCCCAAATGATGGGAAGTGCAGAGAGCTTAGGAGAGAAGACTCGATGAGCTCGATGTTAACTATTACGACCCGAGAGGAGAAAACACAAGAGAAGGTCTCTTCCTGAAGAGAAATCGCGCCATGTTTGGGAATCTTACAGATATAGATATTTTGTAAATGAATAGAATTTTTAGTATCTAAAAAATATATCGTTTAAATCAAAAGAACTGCTGATGATAGATAGTGTCTGCTTTGGTTAATTAAAAAATTATATCATATATATCATAATTGAATGAATTTTTTTCTATATTTATTTAAAGTTTAATCTGAATTTTAAAACAATATGACTTATTTAACACAATAAAGAGAGATAACCCAAGAACTTGGGGAAAGCGCGCGTGATTCTCTGAAATATTTAAAGCAAAGTCCAATAAAAATATTTTCCGAATCTTCTGAAAAAAATTGATTTTTGTTCGCTCAATAAATAATTTATGATGACTGATGAGTACGTTCCCACGTGATGATGCTTTAATCTCCGAGGTGTTCCGAATTTTTCGTCATATCCATAGTGACGTCATCAAAGTTTTCTAGACAACCGAGAGTGTTGATTTGTTTGATTCTTTATCAACTATTTTGTGCTTTTAAAAAGAATACCATGGCCAGGCGTGTAAACCCTGGCATTACTATCAATAATGATGCCCATAGTTTGGTAAGTTTTACACGATTAATTAATTTAATGTCCAAATTAAGCTAGTTGCTGATCTAGTTTGTTGGCCAAAAAATCTGAATGAAGAGCTACTAGGGGCATATAGACTCAGATCCTTCCGTTGTCATGTAAATGAGTGTATATGTCTTACACACATAAAGATGCACTCGTTGTTGATTTATATTTTCCGCAGATTATTTATTATAAAACTGTAGGCCCTAATCTAAGATTTTACAGAAAACCGACATTATTCCAGCATTGAACAATTAGGACAAGCTTGAGCTTGGCATTCTTAACGTTTCATAATTAGCATCTAAATTTTACACAGTTTTCCTTCACTGTTGAAATCCTATTTCAACAGGCCCAAATTAACAAGAGTTAATTATTTCCCGTTGGCCGTTGGGGGTAAACATGCTCATATTCCTTCATCATTCAACCAAATTTAACTTTTTATACTGGCAATTCTGGGATAGAAAGCATTGTTCTTCTGAAAAAAATGCAATATTGTTAGAGCCTCCTTTATCTAATAATTTTTATTCCAAAAAGATCCCCCAGATATATCATATTCTGCTACATCTTCTCATATTTGGTAGGACAAAGAGGGAAAATTACCAGAGTGACCACCAAGATGGCAGCCAACATGAAATAACTTTTGTTAATTGGGGCCAACTGAAAATTTTTCAATTATTTTTGTTAAAAGTATATCTATTAAAAGTTCTCGTAAAACCGGCATGGCATGTTTTTCAATTTATTTTTGTTAAAAGTATATAGAGGCGGGACTGGGTTTCGTGTATTTTAGAGTAAAACCAGGCACAATAATAGTGCATATTTTTCAACTACTTTTGGTAAAAGTAAATAGCATATAGGTCCGGATGTTTAAATAATAAATGTATTGAACAATTGTAACACATGTCACTATATAATAAAGTTTCTGGTGTCATTAATTTCTTAACCAATGAGAATGCCACACCTTACTGAATGTCCAAGCTTACCTGAAAACTGATACAATATTAAAGTTCCTGGTTATTAATTTCTTAACCTGCCATGACAGACGCTAATTACGTTGCCACGCCTTACTGAATGTCCAAGCTTACCTGAAAACTGATACATTCTTACCACCTGATCGACATACTTGTATATCAAGGAAAATATGGTCTAAATAATTATGCTACCATTTTATTCCCATAACCATTCAAGCTAATAATGTTAAAGTTAACTATATATTAAGTAGATGTTTTCAAAATATCCCACGAAAATTTTTAGCAGTCACGTAGTTTCTGGTAGGTGAAGGGTTGGGGGTATTCTGAGAAAGTAGATTTAAGTTTGTTCAAAACATAACCTCTTGGAAAAAGTTGGAGCTGCAATGAGGGTAAAAGTTTTCGATAGAAAAAATCGTTTGAAGAAATTAAGAACACTGTACCGGATAACTCTGCCACTTGAAAAAGTGGCATTTTGGCGCTCGTTAAACTCTCATTACACATAAAAACCATGTACATTGTTCTAGTATACCAAGTGATAGACCATCACTCACAGAGTTCGTAACTACTAAAAAACCCTTAGAAATTTAAAATATTACTCCAATATGATTTTTTGTATCTACACATTTTGATTATGTTGTACTGTTCCTCTTATTTGTGTGTGGATGTCAGTGTTTAACAAGATCATCATGACCTACATTTTGGTTAAAACACCCTGAGGACACAAGATGCTGACAAAGTGTGATGATTCTAAGTCTGAGATTTTTAAATATAGACATAAAATTTTAAAACTAGGTCAAGATGACCTACATTTTTGGTAGACATTATCTGAAGACCCAAGATGCAACAACTGACAAAGTTTGATGATTCTAAACCAAGTATCTGACATATTTGAATGTAACCGTAGAATTCAAAAAGTAGGTCACTGTGACATACTTTATGGTCGACGTTCATCGAAGACCTATGATGCATTAACTGAAAAAGTTTGATGATTCTTAGCCGACAGGTACCCGATATTATACCCGGTATTTAAATACAGCCATAAAATTTCAAAAGTAGGTAATCGTGACCTACTTTTTGATCAATGTTTTTAGAATATTGACAAAGTTTGATGATTCTTAGCAAATAAGTACCTGAGATATTAAAATATAGCCATAAATTTCAAAGGATGGCCACTCTGACTTACTTTTTGGTCGACGTTCTTCGAAGACCCACGATGCATCAACTGACAAAGTTTGATAATCCTAGGCCAACAAATACCTGAGATATTAAAATATAGCCATACATTTCAAAAGTAGGTCACCGTGACCTACTTTTCGGTCGAGGTTCTCCGGAGACCCAAGAAGACTCAGTATCAACTGACAAAGTGTATATGATTCTAAGCCAATAATCACCTGAGATATTCAAATATCGTCATATATTGTCAAGTTTGTCAAAATCAAGGGGTCGGATAGGACTTCAGTTAATGATCAAGTGTTACGTGTGAGTACTAGTACATCAAAGAAAAAGAATCTGTTGATTAGGATCTAGAAGGAAGATTAGATAGTCAGGTGAGCTTTATGGCCGATGAGCTTCATCTTTTTCTACTTTTAATAGTGTGTATTTTTTCACTATATAGGCTGAGCTTGATGTTTTTTTAATTTTTATCCCCCCGTAACTGGGAATACAATTTTCCAAAGTGAACATTTGAGAAATCAAAGGAGAGGGTATGTATGTTTTTTTGTATTAACTACACGCTGTTTGAAGAGATATGAAAGTATAAATAAAAACAGAAAAAAAAACTCCCAAAAAAAAAATTAATATCTTAAGATTCATTACGGAAATATATATATATATTACGTTATTTTTTCTACTTTTAACAGTGTGAGATTTTTTCTATATAGTTTGCCCTTTGTGTAATTTTTATTGTGGGAATACTCCAAGAATTAAAATCGAGAGGGTATGTATGGTTTTTTTTGTATTAACTACACGCTGTGGGAAGGGATATGAAAGTATAAATAAAAACAGAGAAAAAAACCCCCAAAAATTAATATCTTAAGATTCATTACGGAAATATATCCATGTATATTAGGTTATTTTCTTTTTTATTCGAATAACAGTTCAAGAGAAGTTTTGTCCACGTTCTTGACTTTCCCCAAGAAATACGGAAAAGCTTATTACGATAAAATTTATTATTATTAAGTAAAAAGTCTTTACAAAAATAATATATACTCAAGAACCAAGAATAAAAAACGAATAATTTATATAGAAACTTTCCTTTTTTGGGGGGTATCAAATTTGCAAAATCTTGGAACGCATAAATTTATCCAAAAAAAAGGTTGTCCAGTCAAAAAAAAAACAACAGAATTTTCCCGCCAAAGACGATGACTAGATAAGATGACAGTTTGTTTAGATCAGATACATGTTTTAAAATTAAAAAAAGATTAAACATTCAAAATTTTAAACGAGGACCATTTTTTATTTTTTTAAATCGCCTAATTTGCATCAAAGATCATATGCCAATTTCAATCTAATTCACATATAGTGTATAAAGAGGGCACAGGGGTGGGATTTAAGTGCTTGGGTGAGGTATCAGAAAACAAACAGGTGGTACGGGCATGTATCATGCATGTTATAAGTACTTCTTAGTGTATGTTACTGTATACTTATTCATCCTAACAAACGCTTCTTTTTATATTTTCAGTACTTTATATCTCCCAGGAGAGAACTGGCCTCCCGATTTGCATATGAAATGGGAGAGTATGATAAAGAAGAAACTGCGGTTAAGACTGTAGTTGGGGTGAGTTTGACTAGGACAGGGAAGATATATTTAGATATCGATAATATCGATTCTGTGTGATTATGATGCGCATATCGATACCTTTGTAAAAATATCGAAATTTTGCAAATGGAAATCTGACTTATTCTTTCTTTGTTTAACATTTTTTGTTTCATACTTGAAATAATTATGTAAAATATAAAGATGAGTATGAAATACTCAGTACTTTAAAATGGCATAATTTTTTTTGAAATAATTTTGTTTTGCAACAGATTCATGAGATTTACAACTTCTAAGAATAAATTATTCTTTCTTGTCAAAAAATATTTTGTCATTTCAGTACATAAAAGAAATTTTTATTACTAACTCAAAATATCGTGATACATATCGTATCGTAGCTCAAATATCGTTATACCTATCGATATAGAAAAAGTTGTATCATTCCAGTCCTTAGTTTGACCAGTACAATTTATGTTGCAAATCACATTGCATAATAGGCATCAAACAAACTAATGTATTGGTATGTTGTTTTTAAGAATGAGAACCAACCTACACCAGAAGTGCCGATAGTCAGACCGAGACCACGGTCACTTTACTCGGCTTATCTGAGCTTGCGCTATATTGGACACGAGGTATGGGTTTTTATAATTAGCTCACCCGAGCCGAAGGCTCAAGAAGCTTTTTTGTTCCCATTTTGTCAGGCGTCTTTCCGTTTGTTTTAGCTGTAATTAGCTCACACGAGACGAGCCAATTTCAATCAAACTACCACAAAATAAGGAGGATTTTATCGGTATACCGGTATATCGCGATTTTTAATTGCGTGTCTTTACCGTACATATTTAAAGTCCAGAAATTATTCATTTATTTGTTCAATCTTTCAAATTGCAGTTACAGAAACTTTTCACATTTCCAAACATGATTAATTTTATGTACATAAAAATTTCAAAAAAGTGAAATTTTGTTTTTCTAGCATATTTTTAAGAAATTTAAACTAATGACTTTTCTATTAAAATCATTGTAAAAATTGCTTGTAAAAATATCAAACGTGATATACCACAAAAAAATATTCTTGGGTAAAGTTAATTTACTTTTTTTTAAATAAATATACTAAACGCTCACACCTTCTTTAAAGGAAAATAATTAAAACTGGTGAAAGATTTATCCTTTAAAAATCGTTTTTAAGGACAGATGATACAAACAAACTTTTGTCAAAGAATTTGAAAATAACACGCTGGGTCATGTTTAAATGATTTAAATGAAAAACTTTCAACGCGTACTTTTTAATTTTTCATTCAAATTTGCACAAAATGGAATTTGAAGTGAAAAATATTTGTATATTTGTATAGATTGACAAGGATCGTTTCAGAAGGGCATACTTTGAAACATCACAGAAGGTTTACAATTTCTTTATTTTCTATGAATTTATTACTTGCATCATTTGCAATGAAATTAGGGCAAAAAATATATACCAATCCAGGCATCCATTTTTTGTTTGTATCATCTGTCCTTGAGCACTAGGCCGAATAATATGTAAAACTAATGTGGAACCATCCTCAGATTGTAGAGTGTAGTTTCAAATTTGTTCAAAACATGACCCCCGCGGGAAGGTTGGGTCTACAATGGATGATAGAATTTTTTTCTCATAGTGGAAAAAAAATTCAAAGCTTTGATTTATCATATTTATGTGGAAACGTATACTAGTAGTCAAGTAGTATATAGAGTCAAGTTTGTTCAAATAACCTCCGATAAGACCACAATAGCTGATCAAACTTTGACATAGAAATACATAGGAAAATTCTTTAAAAATCTTCCCAGGAACAGCAAGACCAATATTGGTCATATTAATATTGAAGCATTCTCAGCTGGTAGTGTATTATCATGGTTCTTCAAATCATCATGCCCAGGAAGAAGTCTCAATGGGGTATCAAATGATTTCAAAGAAAAACATAAGAAAAATAATTAAAAGTCCCCTTTCAAGTACAGATAAGGCCATTCCAAGTTTTTTCTCTTTTTAGCGTCCACCCATCTTTCAAAAACCTAGCTACCTATCCGCAAAAAACACACAAGTCAAAAAAAAAAACAACAACATATTTTTTTTAATTAACTTCAAAAATATTTCGTTTATCTCTTTTTCATAAAGAAAGTTTTTTTTCTTCAGCAAAATCAAGGTATTAAATACTGAAACTATTTCAATAATGAAATATTATACAAATATTTAGAGATATTCCCTTGAAATCACAAATTTTATGAATTATTAAATATTTTCAAAAACCAAGGCGCACGCGGACGCTAAACAGAGAGAGAGAGAGAGAGAGAGAGAGAGAGAGAGAGAGAGAGAGAGAGAGAGAGAGAGAGAGAGAGAGAGAAACTCTGATTTCTCTAATTTTATCTCCAGAAACCTGTATCTCACAAAAAGTCAGTATGCAGTCCTATAATGTACATTGTAAATACTGTTTTTTACGTTATAAGAATGTACGTTAACATTGTGTTAAAATATTTTTTACAGGAGACTCTTACTGCAAGAGTACTGGGCGATTTTATAGACAACGCTGCAGTGAATAGTTTGGTAAACTTTAATGATTTTGGCAGTTTTTTTTTTGTCTCTGGCTTTTGCTAAAAGCGGGGATTTTTATTTAGGTTTATCCATCCGTCATTCTGTCTGTCTACAACACTCTAAAAGTGCAACAGTCTAAAATCGGTCATTTAGCTTTTGGAAGGAAATTTCATCAGACTTTCTGATTTTATTATTTAAAAAAAAACAAAGACCTCAGGGTTCACCTTATGCATAAATGATTTCCAAATGATAATTTTATTCTCTGAACTTTGGCAATGAAACTAAAGGTAATGACACTAACCAAAGAAAGAAAAGGTTAGGGTCACATTTATAATTGAGAATGGAATAACACACAACAGTTCAAGAATCACTTTAATAGCTAAACGTGACCCTGATTGATATTTGATGAGAAATAAGTGGTCAAGGTCACGAACTATTAAGTTTTCCATCTACACATGTATTCACTTAATATATCCATTGTATAAATGATCTTAGACTACATTATACTAACTTGACTGCTAGATCCATGATGTTCATAAATTTTACATTTCTTCATAACGTCCATAATTTTAACTTAGCAGAAAAAAAACCAAAATATTTCTTGACATTCTGTGAGTCTGAAATCAATTTAATAGGAATATACTCATATTAACTTTCTATTTTTTGTAAAAAGGAGATGCCAAGACATATCATATTTATTAATAGTAATTTACTTTTTAGCATCTTTAAGAAAATTCATTTTTCAAATTTGATAAATTTTATACATGTAGATCCCTCCTATTAAATTCACTAGATATTTATCTTAAGCGATGGACATGTATTTCCTTGAATTTTATTATTCTCTGATTTTAAATTTTGATTTCATTAAAAGAAAACTAGATTTTATTTGATACTGTGACTTATATTTGTAATGTATGTTTGTTATTTATTATAGTGTTTCAGGGGACAGTGAATTCTTCATTACGATAGTACTTGTGTTGTTTTGGTACTAAGTGTATATATCTATATCGTCTTGGCCAAAGGTGCTCACGTTGGTTGCAGTTTAACCAAAATATAATGAGAATGAAATTAAATGAAATATGCTACTAATTTATTCTATGTATTCCTTCATCCATTTGGCAGATCGTCTGAAATACCTATCTGTCCATTTCTGTCAAGTGGTTAAAAATTTTTCACTCTTACTATATACACTGTATAAAGTAGTGTGTCAAGCAATCAGTCTATACATATGCTTGCATAACAAATATTCATTTGCACAAGAAAATAATTTAAATACACTGTACAAACTCTTCAAAATAATATTTTCAATAAAAATTGATAATAACGCCCCTCTCCTCCCCACAACCCCAAAACAAAGGTTTGATTTGCAGCCGCTTTGCTTTCATTCTTAAGAACCCTCTCTTCACTGCACACTAAAGAGTTCTGATTCTAGGGTATTTTTCTGCAGTTAGAGTGATCTGCCCTTAGATATAAAATCAAAAAATAGAAATTTACAATAATATACTCAATTTATAATGAATTCAATCTCGCATTTTAAAAGGCCAAGAGATTAACTGAATGTTATTTACATGTATTTTCTCTACTGAAGTAATTAACGCTGTTGCTTTTATTCTTACAGTGAAAATTTATAGTTTTCAAAAATAAATTTCCAAAAAAAAATTTGCACTTGTGTAGAGAGGGTCCTTAAGTTTATAGTTTTCAGAAAATGTTCCACCTACAATGTATCTACCAAGTCCGACCATATTCTTTTACTCTGAATGGACTGAGGGCAAACAATCATTATCTTTACGGTGGCCTTAGATATAAATCTACAGAGTCCCATTGATATAACATCTTTAGTTTTTATGGGCACCTAATGTTGGCCAAGTCGATATATATATTAGATGTAACTATTCCGTCATGTGATTTTTTTCAACTAAATCTCTATAGTATTTGAAGTCAGAAGGTAAGATTTTTTTTTATTTATAAAAATACAAAGGCGGATCCAGCGTTGGCGGGGGAGGGTGGGGTGGGGGTGGGGGGTTTAGAGGATTGGACGAGCTCCTTCTCTGAAGTTTCAGTTATAAAAGATTAACATGTTTACATTTTTCTTTTTGTTTTTTCTTGACCTAATTCATCTACACGTAATTAGATCAGAAAGATTTTTGCTGACTTGATTTGGATCCTTCCTTCAAAGAGATATTCCTTGATCCGCCTTTGTATTTATATAGACGAAAGTTTTTTTGAAAGGAATGTCAATGTTCTTGTTTTCAAAAATTTATTTTATTTACAATAAAATTTAATGCATGGATATAGGGATGTTGTTTACTAGAGTTATGCTCAGCTATCTCTATGCGTAATGAATATTGTTGCAATACTCAATTTATCGTTTTTAAACTGCATTTTGGGCTGAACGATCGATAAAAATTGTATCCCCTTTTTCTAGCATTATCATTTCTGTCTTTTATTGCTCACGATGTATCTTGATAAAAATTTTCACAAGAACCTTTTTTTTTTAACATTGAGAAAAGATATTTTTACTATCTGTCTTGGACATCTTATACATTTGACTACATTTCATAATGCTTAATTGTTTGAATATATTTATATTTATTTTTATTATACATGTGTATGTAATATAAGACAAATTCAATTTTTCTAAACAAACATTATTTGTTGCAGATCTGTAGCTCTGTGGTCTGAAAAATTTGGGTAAATGATCAGAGGACTACATTGCCATCCAAAAAAAGAAGTTTATTTATTGCGCACAGAAAAATTGCGCTTAATTTTCGATTAATTTCTCACAATTCTTACTTCACTGTTTAAAAGCTTGATTCCAAAATATTCCTTTGACCCCTATCAACTAAACTCTTATATTCTACATCTGCGCGAAACGCGTTGGACCGAATTACATGTACATGTGTCTTCTGTCCAAAATCAGTGTACATCGGCAAAATTTTCGATGATTTCCACTTCATGCCCAGCAGGGCTATTTAAAAGACATAAGGACTGTTTTGTTTTGAAAATACATGTATTACAAGACTTTGCTAGGAACACTCTGTAAGTGATATTTTGAGATTTGAAAAACAAGGAAAAATAAATCGAGAAACAGCGCGCTTTTTTGTGCGCAATAAATATACATTTTTTCCCACCAGCCAACCCATTTGCCAATAATGCTTGTTATTCCTTAATTGTACATTGTAATAAGTGGCAATTTCATATATAAGGTTTGTGAGAATGAGTCCGCCATTCATTTTGTTTGCCTCGCAATATTGCTGCGGACTTACAGGTTTCCACTGGGTTTTTTTTTTCTACACAAAGTGTAGTTTTACCTATGGTTTTTCCTGGGCGGCGAGGGAAGCATAGTTGTGTTCATTTTAATTTTTATCTGTTTCTTACCGGTATTTTGTTTTACCCCCTTTTTTGATGGCAGGCAGCAGTTAAGGCCATTTTGTAAATAATTATATTTTTTTAATCTTATGATTTTTATTTTGTTTTTGCCTTCTTTTAACGAAAAATCAAGCTCAGTCGCTTGTCAGGTGAACTAAGGGACATAAATAATTTTAAAACACTTTTTTTCAATGGATGGCACTATAGCTCGCTGTTCTGTCAATACAGCAAAACTGGGTTATAACGAAGTCACTGGGATCTGTGAAATTAGTTCGCTATATCTGTATTTCGTTATGCCCGTACAAGGAATTCGTTAGATTTGTGTAGTTGGGGATACAAGATAACTTCGCTATATCCGTGAATTCCCACTATCCGTATTCATTCTAAACGAGTTTTACTGTATCGAGCTACAGTTCTGCAGCGAAGAAAAGCATTTGACTTATTTGGTATCTTTGTATTTTATTCATAGGCAACAGATATGTTGAGCAAAGACCTCATAAAAGCTTTTTATGACGCCACCAATGTGCCTAAAAAGCCTAAAAAGGTAATGCAGATTTTAGATTTTATGACATTGGAATTATAACCGTATTTATAACATAAAAATTGATACTAAATGTTATTATATTTTCAGCCAAACTTCTTCCGTCGTGTCCTACAATGCTTTGGGCAATGTCTTTGTTGTTGCCTTGCTCCACAAGCTGATTAGAGTCAATTTTTTCAAGACTCTTAACTTTTAAATTGATGGGTGATTTTACTTTTATTTTTACATCAGATCTATTGTTTTGTTTTTATCTTTTGTTAATTGTAATATCACAGGCACCTGGTACATGGATGGTTAAACAAATATTGAACAAAATATTTCTAAGAAATTCTCGAATTGGCATATCCAATACAATTTTTAATTTTCGTAAAGTTTCAGAGTTGACCTGCCCTCTACCGGTAATAAAAATACTAGTAGAGGCACCATCTATGAAATATAATTAAAAACCGGGAAATTTAGAAGTAACATCAACTGCTTTTATTGGAATCCATTGGTTAATTGCTAGATCTAAATTCAATTATCAGAAAAAGGGGTCGGGGGAGGGGGTATCCCATCCATGTGTTAGGTGTTCGTGGTAAAGTTTCCTTTTTTTTAACATTTAGGTTTTTTAAACATTTTCACACAACACCCATCTAATTAAGGTACAGAATGGGCTATCCCTTTTTGATATGACACCATTCGGCTTCTGTTCCGCCGAAAACCCAAAGACTGATCTCCGCCCCAATGGGCTGCAATATGTATTTTGTTGGATAGTCGTTTGATAAGGAAATAATTGATCTGTATATCTGACTAAGTTAAATAATGTCAAATTTTTATATTGTATTTTTGTTGTGTGTAAATTCAGTAAATGCATTTTTTTTAAAAAGTTGAAACTTTTTATTTCTTGCTTGAAATGCCACGCCCTCGATTCCAACACCTGCTTGTCGAGTGTCTTGAAGTTGCAAATTTGATTTTTTTTTTTCATCAGATTTATAGCCTTATTTTCAAATAGAAGATAACGTTCTCATCTCAAAGGTCCAATCAAAAATAACATCACATGTAAAGGAACAAAGCAAACATCCCCTTTTGACTAGTACAACCCCCCCCCCCCTTCTTAACGAAGAACCCTTTTTATGAATAGCTATACAGCAGAGAATACCTCTTAGACCCAAAGGAGACTTTGCTGGAAAACAAAGATTCCGTACACCTTCCAACTTTTACGTTGTAATGTTATTTCAACAATCACTGTTGTCTGTTAAGTAAAAAAGCATCCTGATTAACTACGTTTCGCGTACATACAAAGCACATAATTAAACAATTTTTTAAAAAATAAATCTGGATATGCATTTATGCATAATTGGACATTGATGTCCTGTATGGCAAACATTTTGATGGAAGAAATGAGTAAAGAGTGTGATATTTGTTAAAAAAGCAATAATTTCTCGGAACAATATGCAGTTTATATAGCATTTATTTCGAAGGGGGAAGATTTGCTTGTCTGAAAAGCCCGAGAGTAGCAAGTTATCTCCAGGGAATTTCTACAAGGGATAATCTTTAATTTAGAATACCAGTCAAATCAGCCGGGTTGATACAGGTTCGACCCGGTTGTCGGCATGGGTAGTAAAACATCATCCTAATGTGGAACCAATAAATTTACTACTGGAAAAATGGCATATTGCTACGAAAATAATGAAAACTAACGATGGTGAAATAAAGTGAAATGTACAGTGGAGAAAATGAACAGTTTGTATTCATGCTCACAAGTCCATTTAAACAATACAACATAAGGAGCAGTGCAAACACACAGACCTCTTTAACATCAGAGGTGGGATCAGATACCATGAAGGAGTGAACATCTCCTGCCGACCAGTCACACCGGCCATGTGCTCCATAAATTGTCGAACTCATCACATATGATTAAGTTAAGTTGTTAGATTGGCATCAGTGTCTCTCTCTAGGTAAAGATCCAAATGAGAAACATGTTTCTGACAATGTGGCTTAAGTGGAATATATTAAACCAACGTCTGCATGAAAATGATTACTAGTATTGTGGATTAATTAAAATTAATGTCATCGGTTTATCTTATTGTCGAATTGAATGTACAGCAAAATGTCACATCTAGTATCCTAAAAGCCTGTTGCTCGGTAATCTTCGTTTCTTCGAAAATAAAAAAAATCTTTTTAAAAAGTTAACATCTTACCTCAGTTGTTTTAAACCTGTGTGCCTATAATTGTAAAAAAAAATAAATATATACAAAAAAAAGAGACAAGAAAACTATGGTTGTTGATAAATATCTTCAATTCAAATGAGACCATGTAATTATATAACAAATTAAACAAAAAAGCGCATACAATGGAGAAATATGCTATGACACATGATTTCAACATATAATTACAAAGTGTAGAAATTTTACGAAAATTACATATATTTAACTAATAACATTTAACATATGCATAATGTTTCAAAAATAAAACTCAAATTGAATGCGTTCTTCACAACAGCCACAAAAATGTTTTAAACAACAGTCTGGAGTGATCTTCGTTTTTTCTTTGTATTGCCCTTCGTAGTATTGTTTTTAAACAAATTAAAAAAATGCGCGGGATTTTTTAAATGACAAATACACAATATACACATGTACAAGTTCAGATGGTAAAGATGAGCAAGGACCGTCTTCAAACCGAAGTCCTGCAACTGTACAAATAAGTCTTAACCTCGCCTTACTTTTATGTGGCATAACTGTGCGTACCCATTAACTCCTTTGATACTAAAAAACATCTTATGTAGACACTCAGTGATCATCATTAGACATGTCACAACATTCATTATTCGATAAATACACATACGTTAAACGCTTGTCTTTATATGCCATGCACAAGTTATCTCTCTTCTCACACAAAGTTGCTTATTATATAATTTATATAGTCATATCAATGGTCTTGAGGATACATAACATGAATTATTTTTGTGATATCAATGAATTCAGATTTGTATGAATTAAAATACATCTATAGACCATTCAATGCACAACTTTGAATCACTCAAACCGGACAAAGGATTCGGCTAATCATTCAATTGCATTAAACATTCAAATACTGCATGACCAATAATACAAAAATATGTAGAAAACAGCTGACCAAACCCACAGACAATACATCTCCCTTGCTAAGTTCAATAGTCATATCAAAATATTTACACCAATGATTCATCTACATGACTTCTTAGGTAATGAATTAAATTTCAGGAATTCTGTTTTCCTACGTACAGATGAAAAAACAGCCTTCTTCAATTTAACCACTTTATCGTATCTGTGTAATGTATGATTCTCCCTGTGAAAAATGGCAAGGGGAACTAGGATTTTGTGCCTTCTGTCAGCCGTTTGATTGTCAGTAACCCCCCGTTCACACAGAGCTGCGACTCTACGGCGATCATCCCGATCAAGCCACGATCTGAAATTTTTTTGGATTGGGGCAGATCGCAGCCGATCGGCGTCTAAATAGAGCAATTTGGCAAATTATGGTCTTCGCTACGACCGTACTACGATGTCCCTACGTCAAACGCGCTGCAAACAAGCCTCTACTACGATGTTACGCAGACCGTTGCCGACAATTAGCCGTGCTTAGTGCGTTTACGCTACGCTGCCACGTCGACATTGAAGACCATACTACGACGCTACACAGACCTAGATGACTGTACCGCGATGTCGCTACGGTGTTGCCGATCATATTACGATTGCATTACGCTTCTAGTACTATTTTGGTGATGATGTAAATATATCATGAAACTGCAGATATTTGTAGTACAATTTTAGCGATGATACATATTATGCGACCGCAGTTTTTTTTTTCCGGCCTTTACCACATGGCTTAGGACATTTTCAATTATTATAACTGTAACAAGATGTGAAAATACTCAACTGTAAATGATCATCAAGTATAGTGTCACCCTTTACATGTAGTTAACAGATGATGATTGGTCAAATATCAGCGGTATAAGAACAAACTCTTGTCTGATGGGTCGTGATATGATCGGCGTAAGGTCATTGTAGGTCTTCGTAGGATCTTCAGGAACGTAGAGAGATCGTAGTGAGAACGTAGTACGAACGTAGAGGGAGCGTTGTATGAGCGTGCTTGGTAAGTTCCTACGCTCTCACGGCGCTTTTACTACGATCATGAAGATCTCTCTACGATGCTTCCGCGCTGCTTGTACGATTACAGCGCTTATACTACGCTCTTTTTACGACTTCACCCCGATTCTTGTTGGCCACGATCCCGCTACGCTTGTTTTGAACATGTTCAAAATAAGCGTGGTGAGAGCGTAGAGCTCTCCGATCATGAAGACTCTACTGCGAGCACACTACGCTTCTGACGACCCCACGACGTTCCTCCTGCGATTTGTCACGATCAGCCACGATTTTGACCACACTTTGATCGTAGTAGAAGCGGCGTCTATGTGTGAACGGGGGGTTAAGCATCGATTGGTGACACAAGCCTATACATGTGTAGTTACTAACCACACTGTCAATACCAGAATTCTTTCAAAGCATCCCTAATTATTTAAACCTTTTGCGACAAAAAAATATCTACCGGTATTAAGATATGCCCCCTTTTCATTGCAACAAAGGCTACCTCCGATTTTCTTTTCATTTTTTAAAAGAGGGATGCAAATTGCATGATATATGTGAAAAACAAAACATTGCTCAGTTTTAGTATGTAATTGTGTATAAAAGCCCGAAAAATGGTCTATATCTTGAAAGTGCCCTCATTTGACTACAATAAAGGCAAGGTAACAAAATTTCACTCTAATTTTTTTTAACATAATACAGAACTTTTGGACAATTTGAAATCACAAGACTTTACAAAGATCAACAGCTTAAAAACTTACGACTTTTCAACTTTATACACAACAATTCCCCACGATATTATAATCCAGGCTTTTTGATATCATTGACAGCTGCTTTTTCAATAAAAAATGGAACTCGTAAATTTACTTACCTCGTCATTGGTCATTTGAAAAATTATTTTGTTAAAACAGATTCTGATTGCACACATAAGTACTCTGAACTTGACATCAAGAAGATGCTTGAGTTTCTGATTGACAATATCTATGTGGTTTTTGGAGACCAGGTATTCCAACAATCTATTGGAATTCCCATGGGTACAAATTGCGCTCCGTTATTAGCAGACTTATTTTTATATTCATATGAAGCAGAATTTATGCAAAATCTATGCGTGAAAAGAAGAAAACACTTGCTGTGGCCTTCAACTCGACATTTAGATATATCGACGACGTATTGTCAATTAATAATGATA